TTTATTCAGATATAAGTTTTAAAAGCTGAATATAACAATTATAAGCCGAATTAAGCTTTGAAACCTTGAAAAATGCTTAAAGTCTGAGAATTTTGGACTGTTTGAGATTTAGATGACCATAGCGGTCAGTAGAAACCAGGTGGGTTAGTTTTAGTTCTGCATACGGGAATGATTCGGGGGTTTCCTAACAAATGGCTCTTATTTCGGCGACCTACATAACCCGGTTTGGATCATTCCGACGACAGCCGGTTCTACGTACCGGAATGGCTCGGGTTTTAGTTTTACTTGACCAAAGGCTGTTGTTTCGGCGACCTAACCCCGCTTAGGTCAGCGAAATCTCTCAAACGTTTTTCGTATATGGGGCTACATCTGCTCAGTATTCTTCTGCTCAGGGTTGGCATAGAGTCAGAAACAGGACCAGAAACATACACCTGCTGCATATGTCATAGCCGATTGAACCCAAACTCCACCTCGGTCAGGTGCAATACTTGCAACGGGTGGATGCACCTCTGCCCATCTCGGGCTTAAGAACTCACCGGAAGTCGACCACACCGTAAACCTAACCACCTCCACGGCACACCGGATTCGCCTTTTTAGCGAAAAACATTCCACACAGATATAAAAAAAATTCAGTTTGTGGTTATATCAAGGCGAAATTTTGAGAACGGTTCGTTGCTAACTCTAAATATAAACAACGACGCACTGGAAAAAGGTAATACGTTCAAATACCTAGGAATAATGATCGACGATAAACTAAAAAATAAAAAAAAATGGATTCTATTTTTTCAATAAGAGCTCTATGAATATATGTACACCGGTGAAAACTGCATTTAATTCTATACATTAGCTTTTGCGTGATACGCTTTCAAACATACAGACAAACATATCAAAATTTTATATTTGGCTTCTGTTGATATAATAAACCCCCTATTAATTTTTCTTTAACATCTATTATGTACATATATCGGCCTGTTGCAATTTTATTATTCTCAAATACTCTCGTTTGATACCCATATGGCAACACTTAGTTTATATTATAAATTTAACTGAATTAAAGCTTTCAAATAAGTGGCAACCCGCTTCAAGAATATTTTCAAAAGTAAGCTTCCTAATCCTCTTTAGTTTAAAATTTGTATTGCAATATTTCATTTATTTTACAAATTTTAATGAATACAATTTTTCAGTCAGTTGGCAAATCCCCTAAAAATATTTTTAGCATTAAAATTTTCTAGCCTCTTTAGTTTGATGCCAATATTGCAATATTTAATTTATGCTATCAATTAAATTAAATTAAAGTTTTCAAATAGGTGGCAACCTTCCGCTAAAATATTTTCCGCTGTAAGCCTTTGTAAATTTCTTTCTTTTGACAGCCATATTGCAGTATTCACTTTACCATATCAATTGACCTAAACTGAAATTTTAAACACAGGTGGCAACTCTCTAATTTTTTCTTCTATATTGGAAGCTAGATCTCTAGCGATACATCGGTAAAAACTGCATTCAATTCCATGTTTTCGACTGATGCGCGTACAAATATACAGACAGACAGAGATTCAAAAATTCTAAAAATTGTTTATTTGGCTTCTGTGAGCGTGTGTGAATCGGTAACAAAGTTCGCATCGAGTAAATTTTTGACAACTATGAGGTGAATAAAATTTCAGTAGCTCATGAGGCTAGTGAAATTTTTGACAAATGCATAGAAAATTTTGACAATCGCAAAGATTGTTGATGTGTGTAATTTTTCGTTAAATAAAAGCTTAAATAGATGAATTGCAATCAACGATGGTAGAAGTTTTCTTAAAATATTCAGTTCACTTCAATTTGTAATATTTTATTCCAAATAAATCTGCGGTTATCAAAAATTTACTGCTGTCAAAAAATATTTCATTTCACACAGCAGATTGGCAAAACTGTCTCACTATAGTAAAAATATTATTCAACAGCTTTCCCCATAGAACTTTGTTACCGATTCACACACGCCCTGTAGCTTTAATAAAAACCCACCATATTCATTTTTCTTTAATATATATAAGGTACAGACATCGACCTGTTACGCTATGTATAGATGTAGATATAGATTTCATTTATTTTATCAATTTAATACAATAAAATTTTTCAATAAATAAAATTTCCTAAACCGCTTCAGTTTGATACCCATATTGCACTATTTAATTTATCTTATAAATTAAATTAAATGTAAATTTTCAAACAGGTGGCAACCCTAAAAAATATCTTTGGCTGTAAGCTTTCATCAGCCTCTTTCTTTTGACGCCCATACTGCAACATTCATTTTTTCTTATAAATTTACTTAAACTTCAATTTTCAAACAGGTGGCAACTTTCTAGTTTTTTTCTTCCTATATTTTAAGTTAGACCTCCAGCAATACATAGGTGGAAACTGCATTCAAATCCATGCATTCGTTTTCGAGTGATGCGCGAACAAACATACAGACAGACAGACAGACAAAAATTCTAAAAATGGTTGATTTGGCTTCTGGGGCTCTAATAAAGACCCCCCACATTAATGTTAACCTGTTACAATTTTATTATATGTTTAGATGTCAAGTTTGATCATCCGTTTATGTAATTTTTATTTTCATTGCATGATTATCCAAAAGAATAAGGTATCATTTTCTTGTTAATTGTGTGAAATAGCCAGAACAACCGCAGTGAAACAAACAAATAGTAGATATCTAAATGTTATGCACAAATTTACTTTAAAAGAACTAGCGTGAAACTGACTTATTATTTGAAAATTTATCTAAATTATTCCAATTATAAAATTGTGATGTAGGTTTATTCGAATTGCAATACGCATTTAATTTCATCTTCCGATTAAAATGGATCGATCTTTGTAAATTTTAATTGGAGATTATTCAATTTTATCAAAATCACCCTCTACCAACTTAATTTTTACATATTTCCTTAATTTGATAAAATACTTCTTCCTAGTTACGATTAGTTGCAGCTGCAGCCGAAACTAAATTTTAAGTTGGTACTTAGCCAGAAAAGTCGAAACTAAGGCGACTATGAATAGCTTTAGTTGTGACTTAGAATAGTTTCGACTTAGTTAAGTACTAAATATGACTATGAATATGCGCCATTATCCTTGTAATGTGAGTTTATGACACTCGATACGATACTAGGGTTCTGGTACTCGATTC